GAGAGTTTGTTTGGTAGGGCGTGTACAAGAATTGTCGCGGGATTTGGGCAGCGCAGTGGACGGATGAGAAGGGGCAGCGGCATACGAAGTACTTTAACCCGAAGTTTTTTGCGAACGAGGCGACGGCGCGTGTAGAGGCGTATAAGTTCAAGGTAGCGATTCAGCGCGAGATCGAGGCGAAGGGAGGCGTGCAACGGCGACGTACAAATGGGTTGCGCGCGCGCGCGGTGGCGGGTCCGCAGCCTCGGTTGGTGGCGGCTACGGCGGGTCGGCGGATTCGGCGCAATGGCGCCATCGTGCCCTACTTCGCGCCCGTCGCCGGTGCTGAGTACGCCCCGGAACTAGCCAACGCCAGTCCCGAACTCCTCGCCATGCTCCAATCCGTCAACGCTCTCCACCCCGCCCACGCCGTCGCCGGCCTCGCGCAGGAGTACCGAACGGCACCGGAGTACCGTACGGTTTCGGAGTACCGAACGGGACCGGAGTACCGTACGGGACCGGAATACCGAATGGGACCGGAATATCGACCAGGGCAAGAGTATCGGGCAGGACACGAGTTCCGGGCAGGACAAGAGTACCGAGCTCAGGATTACCGAATGGGGCCGGGACAGGAGTACCGAGCGGGGCCAGGGCAGGAGTACCGAGCAGGGCTAGGGCAGGAGTACCGACCAGGACAAGTGTACCGACCAGGGCCGGAGTACCGAGGGGGGCCGGAGTACCGAAGCTACGGGCCATACGAGAACAGGACCGACTCGGGTCAGCATGCGTTTCGGACCGGGGAGTCCGTGGACGGGGCAAACTTGTCCGAGCGGATGTTGGAGGGGTTCGAGTCGGAGTGGCAGTTTGCGAGTTACGACGATATGGTATACTGCTACATGCGGCAATTGTACGGTTTGGGGGAGCAGTGGCCGGGTGCGGAGAAGCACGGTCCACACGGTGGAGGTCCACACGGTGAGAGTCCACACGAACAGGGACACTATGCGCAGCCAGGCGGGCAGATGCGGCCGGTGCCTAGTGAGTTTGGGCGTGGTTCAGGACCACCGTTTTTGACGCCAGTATGGTACGCCACTAGCGAGCCGCTTTGGTGTTCTCCTGTCGAGCCGCCTCGGACGCCACGGCGTGCGGCCATGGCGGTTATTTGCAGCCAGCCACCTTGTAGTCGCATAGACGATTCCGACTTGGACCCGTCGCCTCTGCTGCTCTCTGCGCCGCCGCGACCCTTGCCCTCAGGCGCTGACGACCGACCCAGCCACGCACGACCCAGCAGCTCCAAGCTCAGCAGCAACGCCTATGGCCCAGTTAAACGACGGAAACAGGCAACGCAGCTCCCAACTTAGTCACAGCTTCGATATATGTTCATCCCTAGTTCTTTTCTACTCGCTACAGACCAATAGCTGTAAAGATCTTCCCCAAAGGGAATTCAATCATGGCCGTTGTCAACACGCCGAAGAAGGCAGTGAAACAGAAGTGGGAAATCGTCGCAAACCACCCAATCACTATAATTAAGACGTCATGGTGGGCCCGATGGCGGTGCCCCCGGGTGGAAGTGTGTCCGGGTGGTGGTGTGTTCGGGTAATGTGGTGTGATATTCCACGCGGGGTAACACCCAGTGTAAGTTACGATTGTTTAGGCAAACGTCTGTAGTCCTGGTTGCGTAGTATGCCTGTTCAACAAGAGGGTGCACGAGGTAAAACGTGAAGGTATAGACGCTGCACAGGGCCATCGGCCTGTTGGCTAGGATTTCTTTGAGGACGACAAGTATGGGATTTTTGACCACGATGTCCTTGGTGCTGGTGCGGACGTAGACAAGTACAAGGGAGAACCAAGCGAGACAGAGTGCCCAGAGGGTACGGTTGTACACGAACCACAGTTGGTCCAGCGTGACGTTCCAGGTCAAGGTTTTCCCCTTGTTGGCAAGGTAGGGAACAGAGACGCAGCAGGCCCAGGCGCCGATGAGCGAGAGGGCGGTGTAGAGGCTGACTATATAGGGATCAGCAACCGGCGTATATTCTGGTGCAGCGTCCATGGTGTCCAGTTGTCGGTAGTTCCGGTTGAGGCGGCCAAGCAGTAACCGTCTTGTAGGACTAGTCACGTGCTCTGGAGAAGGACAGTGGTCGTGGTCGAGTATGGGCGACTCATCTGGTGCGAGTTCTTGGTGTGTTTCATCGGCTGCTTCGTCTTCGTCTATTCTGCGAGTGTCATTCGAATTGGAGCCAGCGGAGTTACCGGCGCCGGAAGTGGCGCAAGGTTTTAGCAAAGTTATTTGTTTTTCAAACCACCCGTCACGCTGGCAGATTCCTGCTGCTAGACCCACAAGGTACGGGCCAATTCTGCACCAGGGCTTGACGTAAAACGTGGCCCAGTTCTGCATCAGTTCCATGGTACCTCCTTCTTGCGCGGGGGTGATGGACGAGTCGCTGAAGGCCGGGATACTGAAATGCAAATGTTCGGTCCTAACCACATGGTAGGAGTAGATAGAGGCCACCGCCAGTACTCCAGCAGCGGCTGAGTACATAACCTTCCTGCTTGTCAAGCATGAGAGGATCACCAGCGCATTACCTAGTATATAAAACTGGAAGTCGTTCGACAAGTACCATGTGTGTCCCAAACACTGCAGGCCTTCTGCTCCCCTTGAGAGGTTATTTGTCAAAGTCAAAACGTTCCACCAGTACTTGTAACACCCACCAGACCGATCAGGTGTCATGCCATACCGTAAATAGTCAACGTAAGGCACCCACATCGGGCCAGAGCCCAGGTACGGAAGCACAAAGTATGAAAATGCCAATACCAAGGACATCGTGGGAACCAGACGCAAGTAGCGTTTAATCATTAGAAGCCCAGCATACTTTGCCACCCGCGTAGCACGCATGCCCGTAGAGCCACCACGACTGGAGGAGTCACGAGTGGAGGCGTAAACGGCTTCTAATTTTGAGCTGCCGAATAGCCCATACATCAAACCCGAAAGGAAGAAGAAGGAGTCCACAGCCAGTTGTCCACTGATGATGAATTGAAACTTATAATCGTGGACCAGACCCAATGCCTCCTTCAAGTTCTGATCGACTCCTTCCTGCCAGGAAAACGTGAAAGTGTGACCTAGAACGACCCAAAACATATTCAACGATCTCAGACCACACACATGACTGAAATCGCCACGACCGAGAAACTTAGCTCTGCTGGAGCAATCCTGAATATTAGAGCTGATATTACCAACCCAACCCCTAATCAGACGACGATTCGTCGGGTAAAGAGGGAGCAAGACAGCCACCAACACAACCAAGACCCCTACGGCCTTATTGAAGCGGGAGTCATCCAAGACTGCAGTCCATCCACCACACCTCACACGGTAGCGAAGCCCGGCAGGTGACTCATATCTGTGCAACCGGATAGTATCTTCCCCACGACTCCACCACGACGTCCGATCCCCAGTTTTATTCATTCCGGTTCCGTCGCCGTTACCACTATCGTCGTATAAACGAACATCCGACGATAGCATCCTTCCACCGTCCCCTCCTAGCAATCCAGTCCCCAAAGATCCTAGCAGGTTGTCGCCAAACGAGCTTTCTCCAAATGGGCTACCTCCTATCAGGTTTCTGGCCATAGGAGTCCTAACAGGAAAGAGGGACTGAAGATCCCTGTCATTTTCGATTATTTTCTGGACCTTTCTCGCGAAATTCTGGAAGAGATGCAGAGGCATGCCAGGCATGCGATTTGGCCAATCGTAACCTCCACCAACAAAGATATCTCCGATAGCAGACAGGCGCTTTGATTCACTGTCATTACCTCTAGCGTTTCGAGTAGTATTTCCATTGTTGGCTAACCCATGATTGGCTAAGTCATGATTGGCTAAGTCATGATTGGCTGAGTGTCGGTAATGAGAGCGATGAGCCGAACGATGGTGTTGGCGACGGTTGTTGGGTAATGCTCTTGGCGTCGTGATGACGCTCAGGATGTCTTGCTGATTACTTACAGCCGTCATGGTATTACCACACCCTAGCATTTGTGCGGATAAACAAAGCATTGGAGGAATGGAGTCTAAAAAGTCCACACACGTTTCCATTCCGGTGTAGGCTGGGTCTCCATCGCGTTTGCCAACTTCGCCACAGATAAAGTTAAGCAGGTTGTAGAACGTGTGCGGCGTACAGCCCTTCGGCAGACACTCGCCTTGGTACAGCATGCTATCAAACTGAACTGTACAGTACTGGAACTCGTCTCTATTGTGGTGGGACAAACACGAGGAATACGACCCTAAACTTGTAGTCGTACCTGAAAACAATAGACTAGGCATGTCTCGATAATAGCCCATACCGCAGTCCACTAATCCAGCCATCAACTGTGTACCCAACATCATGACGTCGTCCTTTAAAGTTCGGCCGTCTCCTTCTCGTTCTTCTCCTTTTTGAGTGCCAGCTTCTTTATCGAAGTTGAGCATGGGGAGGTCACGTACGTTATCCGCCAACAGCCTCCGGGTCTCCACGGCTCGATCCCTGTCGCTGTTAGATGTGTCGCCGTTAGGATTATCTTCGTCTTGACAAACCATTGCAACGTGATCAGCTCTGTCGACGATAGGACTAAACCGGTTGGCACTATCGCATAGTAAGGTCTGGGTTGTTATGCACAGTAAACGGTCACCATCGACTCGATTGTCATCTTCGGCTGCAAATATAGAGCAGCTAGGAACTTCACAGAATCTATCTAACATAAAATTAAACTCTTCCATAGACTCGCACTTCTCCAAGTCGACACAACCATACAAGCCAATTGTAGAATGTATCTCCGGGGTAAAGCCAAGCTTGTAGCGAACCGAGCAAAGTGAGCGATTCATATTCTCGCACATCCTATTGTTAGTAGGCATTTTAACGATTTTGGTGGGGTAACAAGGATGGTTCTGTAGCTGGTGCAAAGTGTATGTGATTGCAGCCTGACCAAGTTCCGCTACCGCGGCCTCACCACTGGAGCAGGCGAGTCGTGAGGCCACAATAAGCCAACGGACCGACATCCCCAAAAATATTTATGACGAATAAAATTCACCTAATCAAAGCTCCTACTTCCCTTAACACGCTACTTCCCTTAACACGCTACTTGGTCACCCATCAACCCAACCTTACCTACACACCTGATCACCCATCAACCCAACCTTACCTACCCACCTAAGGTAACCAATTAACTTAATCAATCGGGTTAACTCAGCCAGTGAATTAATGGACTGCTACGGAGGGCAGATTCTCTGGGACCGTAGTGCTTTGGATTAGAGCATCACTACGTCGTTTATTTACACTAAATCCGCTAGGGAACCAACTGGCGGGTACGGGGGAATAATTATGGAATAAATGGCGAAGCATGATGGGAAGGCGGTGGCTCGGCCTGGAGAAGTGCGGATGGAGAAGCGGGTGCGAGGATCCATTGAGAAGGGCGTTGCGGAGAAATGCCCCCGTCTGGAGAACGGTGGGAGGTTGGAGGGTGGCTCGAGATTGAGTCGGAGTGCCCGTCTGGAGGTGTCGGAGATGTCGAGGTCGGCTGGGGAGACTCGATGGTCATTACCGGAACGGCGAGACAACAGTGCAGTGATACGACTGGCGGATTCTGTTTTACTTGATCTGATGGCGACCGGCATGACGGAAAGCAATGTATATAATGTGCGTGCAATGATAAAGGATTATAATCTAAAAATTTTCCTAAGGGATGGACTTGAAGAGGTACAGTATACTGATTGGTGTGAACGTATTCGACAGTGTTGCGCGATTGATCAAAAAGTCATAACAGAATTTCTGGAACAACTAATCCTCATGGCTAGAGACTTAACAGACGATGACATATACCCACCAGTCTTAACTCAGAGTTCCGCACGCATCTGTCTTGATCATGGACTGTACTTCCCGCACAAGGAAAAACTCTACAAGTACTTCATCCGAGTCATCCGACAACAACCTGTAGGAGTCAAATTGCCCCATTGCACACACGAATACTCTTTTCTAAAGGCGCTCTTGTCTAAACATCCGGACGCCAACCAATTCATTCACAACCTACATGACATGGAAATCGCTTTGGATCATAACAACATCCGGTTCCTGAAAATACACTACCTTGTACCCAAACATCATCCGTATGGTGGATCAGGTTATGGTGGTGGATCAGGTTATGGTGGGGGATCGACACCAGATGAAATGGTATCGGAGTCCCGCTTAATTTCCATATCTCGCTGCATGGATATGATTCAAGACCCAGTCTTGGATCCTGCAAGATACAAATTGATTAATTTGCTCTATACCTTCTACTCTAGTTATCAACCGGATTTGAGTGCTACGCTGTTCGTGGATCTTATCAAAAAAAATGCTCCCTGTCCTTTCTTTCAGTATCGTTCTGAAAAGGCGGCTATCCGGGTCAAATATACGGTTGATCTCATTGTCAATTATATAAGGTGTATTATTGAATTGATGAAGCTATGTAGATTGAACCCTGGGCGTGGTAGTTCGAGTGGTGAGTCGTGCGTGGTGAGTCGAGAGTCTTTAGAGAGCTACTGTTTATATCGCGGACTTCAATCATGGCTTTTTAATTACTTGCATCAAATTGAATTTGAAAGACCGGAAATTGAAGCAGCTGAAGAAAATATTGATATAGATGAGTATAATCTATGGTTGAAGGAACAAGCGGATGAATTCAGTCGATTACTAATACAGAAAAAGAATCAATTAACGACACGACAGATTCGTGATGCCCGTCAACTTCTAACTGATGAGTCAGTACTCAAACGAAAGTATCTGGAACTTAGGACAGAAGAGGAAATTGGGCCTGTAAAATATAAATTGGACCAAGTATTAACCCTGACATTAAACTTTCTCCAACAAGAATTTCATAGACTGCGAGAAATGAAGATCCAACAAACACACTTAAGAAATACTTGTCCATATGATCAACTAGTATTTGATGACCAATCTGGCAGAACAAGAATAAGGTCTTTCGGATTGGTTCGGAAAGACACGCGTCAAGAAGAAATTGTCAATATTAAATATGTCAATGCCAGTCAGTTCTGGTTTCATCATATCCTTCAAGATTTCAGGGATTGCTGTTTAGGACATCATGAAAGTCCACTAATACCCTTACTTATATTCGGTCTTATACATTCCTCTGATAGTGTGTACAATCTTGTTTCCATGGAATTTCTACATCTCCTAAGATCAGTATATGTATTGTCTAAGGATGGTAGTATTCAGAGTCAGGATCGTAATATTCGAAGTCAGGATCATAATATTCGGAGTCAGGATCATAATATTCGGAGTCAGGATCATAATATTCAGAGTCAGGAATTGCATAATGATTTAAGTCGACAGCCACGAGAATTGCAATGCAGAGAAATGGAGGAAACTGACGTGGATCAGGAGGATGGTCATCCAAGAAAAGAACATGAGAAAATAAACCCAGTTGCGAACGTGCGCGAAAAGTGTGTTCGATTCCTCGTTTCTTTCGGCGAACGGTCTCAGTATATATCTGTTATGACAATTGAGGATATTCTTAGCTTCTTAGCAGTTAGCTTGTTGAAAGAAATCCGTCGTGGCGTGACTGAGGAGAATATCCTGCTTTGTGCAACCTTATTCAGTGGTTGTCTAGAAATCCTTATTGCTCGTTGGAGCGATATTAGTAACGAAGCGGAGACGAGAAGATTAATACGACTAATGTGCCTTTTGGCCTTTTCCGATGAAGTTACCCATGACGGTCTGATATCTAAGATAAGATGTCTGGTAGCGAAAACGGCTGCCGAAAAATTCTCCACCACGTTCGATTTCTCATATTCTCCACCTCTCGTCGGCTTTATCAAGAAACTAGTTGCAAAGGGCAAAGGCTTACTTGAGCAATCAGCGACAGCAAACAAATCACTATTTGCCCTTGAAGGGGAGTGGCCCGTGCGACCGTTTGATAGAACCTACCTTCGGGAATTCGGACCGCGTATATGCAAAACTGGGTGGCTGGATTGCTGGGCTCTTGAACCACACCACGCTACCGAACCTCTTCACCAGGTTAGTGACCCTCCACTCGAAATCGGGCGCACCATGTGGAGTGAAGAGTGGAGTGCCATCAGTGGCGGAGCGTATGTCGTCTTCAGCACCCGACGTCCCACTGACGACCAAGCCTCATCAACATCGTCTCAATCTGCTGATGTGGCCAGTGCGATAGGTGATACGGCTCTGGACACCCCACCCTCTGGTCTAAAGGTCACCTCTGCAGACGACGCTAAAAAGGCGAAGGATGAACATTTCGAATACTCTGATGGTTCAATATCGAGCTATGAGGACGTTGTGGTGCACAATACAGCACCGTCGTCGGCTCCAGCTATGGGAGACACGGAATTGTGGAACGAGAACGTGAAGCAAGTTCTGAATCTCCAATTCCCTGTGGTTAATAACAACCATGTGGTTAATAACAACCCTGTGGTTAATAACAACCGTCATAACTCGACATTGTTCACACATATCGGTGCGGCGTCTGGTGGCTCCACGCGTGGACCGGCGACACTGGATTCTATTGCAGCGAAGCTGGTGACGTGTGTTATGGAATCAAATGCGGCACTTATGTCCGCTCTGATGGCGGGGGCGAGATAGTTTTCGGGCTTTTTTGGATGAGGTTTTTTTTGACGAAAATAATTGTTGGTTACCATGCCGTCTAGCCCGGGTGTAAAAATATCGCGCCGACTAGTGTGATGTCAAGTGTGTGTTTAAACCGTCTCGTGTTCAAAGCTCGGTAGCTATGAGTGCTTCGAGAGCCGCTTTGCCGCAGAGTCTTTCATTTTCGTGTAGTTGGTTGGTGGAGATGTTCTCCGTCATTGCAGGGTTGACTCTGCTGAGTATGCCGATGTGGGCCGCGGCGACCTTCAGGGGAGCGACAGTTCTTTGTCTGGCGAGTTGGAAGAGGGTGAATGCCTCCATTTCGCAGGAGTCGACTCCGTGTGTGGCGAATTCCTCGAGTATATTTTTGTTGTCTCCGTTGTAGAAGTGGCTGTCCTGGCGGCCTTGGGTGGCGAAGAAGGTGTCGGACGCGTTGTTGAGCCCGTTCACGGCATTCAAGTCGAGTTTCTTCATCTCAGCCAAGAGCCTGTCGCTCAGGGCTTGATCCGGCAGCACCGGCTTGGTCACGTAGTAGAGTTGACTTGGCGACGTTTTGGTTCCGTCAATCAAGCCGTCCGTGAAGCCAGCCTGGTTGATGTAAGTCAGAGTAGAGCCCTTCCCGGCCACGACAATCGTGCCAGGCGGAAGAGACGGGTTGAACAACCCACAAGTTCCCACGCGAATCACAGCCATCGGACCGGGACACACGAAGCTGGATTCACGCACAAAGAAGTCCATCATCGGAGCCCCCATGCCAATTGCCACAATCGATACAGCCACACCCTTGTACGTCCCCGTGTAAGTAAACATCAACCGGTCCGACGCCACCACCGTGTCGATCTTGTCAAGCAACTTGGACATCTCCTCAGCCCTCTTCTTCGCACCCACCACGATTATACGGGGCGCCAACTCACCGGCCTTCACACCTAGGTGGTACGTTGCGCCATTTGGCAGCAACAACAAGTCCTTTCCAGTCATGTACGACATCCTGCCCTAATTCACTCAAAAAATAAATCTTTGTCACTGCCCGCTGCACCGTTTTGAAGAGCTGATAATTTGACAGTGCGATTCGCACCCCCCATGCTTACCGTCACCGTAGGGGACCGGCACAAGTCCTCCACGCTGCTCTTGTCCTTCACATTCTAAACAGAACGACGCGAGTGATGTTGATCCCAACCCGAGCAGGCAGATGTGGAGCTTACGTAGAAGTGTTTATGGTCGTGGTTATGCACATGTTGGTGCTCATGATGATGAATGTGAATGTGCATCTTCCCGTCTCCTGGTGGGTCTTGCAGAGCCTTAGTGATTCCCTTTATTTCGGAGACTTTATTTTGGTATTCGGCACTGAGTTTGGACAGCTGGTCCTTGCTTTGTTTGAGCTCGCTTTTGGTGCGGCTGAGTTCGTCTGTGACGTCTTGGAGCTTGGTTTTAGATTCAGTGAGAGCGGACCTCAGCTCGTCGTTCTCCTCCCTTAGTCCATTGGCCTCTTCCCTAAGCGACCGGGTTTCCTCCCTTAGTCCATTGATCTCCTTCCTGAGTGTTTCCGCGTCCGTATTCAGGTCTTCGAGTTGATTCTGGTGGTCGTTTCGGAGACGTTCCAGCTCACTATTGGCCGTCTCCAGCTCAGCCACGAGCCGTTGTAGCTCACTACGAGCCAGTTCCAGTTCGGTCCCGGCTTGCTCTAGCTGGGCCTTGAGCACGTTACGCTCCTTCTTAAGTCGGTGGTTGTCCGTCTTGAGGCTCTCGGACGTCTCGGCCGTGTCGCGGCCATTCAATTCGCGGCCAGCGTCGAGCATTTCCTGGACCTGCGCCAGCCGCTTTTGGAGCCCGGCGTGCTCCAGCTCAAGCGCGCCATACTTCTCGCACAAGGCGTCGTGCTCTCTCTGTACGGCCTCGAGGAACTCCAGGTGGTCCATCGCCTTCAAGTACTTCGCCTTCAGCCTCTCCAGTTTGGCCTCGTTCACTTCCTTCGCCTTCATCATCTCCTCTTCTCGGTCACCCACGGCATGCGTCACCTCATTCATGCGCGCCTCCATACGCAACAAGTCATTGTGCAAATCCTCCTTGGCGCGGCAGGCACGAGCTGCAAAGGCATGCAAATCCAACGCAGCCTCCCGACACTCAGCCAAACCTCCGCTACTCTTAATCCTACCTCAAAGAACTACTTACGCACATAAATGGTGCTGACCGGGACAGGATTCCGGCACAGGATTCCGGGACGCGGGCTCCAAGGATTCGAACCGCGGATGCAAATCAGGCGGCTTACGAGGCATATAGACTACTTAATTTTTCCGTGTCTTTCGCGCTCCACGGCGCTGCCTCCTCCTCAGCTGCAACACAGTCCGTTATTCAGACGTCTCACCTACACAAACCACTGTGCTCAGAAGACCAGCACGACATCCTAAAAATTACAATTCCTCAGATCTTAATTTCCGGAGAATGCCAACTGGGAGTTGAAGGTTGCAAGTCGGGAACGCACTCGTCGGTTACGGCAACGCCCCCGTCGTGGCAGTAATACCCGCCCCGTGGGTATCCTTTGACATATCGTACCCTAGTAAGGACGGCACCTTCCTTTTATGCCCGCACCCTCCCCTGGCGACGGCGAGTCTGGCAGTGACGGGGCGAAGAGGTCTCTGGGCCAGTCGGTTGGAGCCCGTTGCTGGCGTGTGTTTTTGAAAGCACGCCGGTTGAAACTGGCCCCTCGGTTACACCCGAGCATGCAGAAAATTGGGAGTTGCGCACTCTGGCTGGCGGTGACCGCTAGCGACTTGCCGCCAACCATGATAGGGCCAGATGCCAAAATGTTCCTCACATACGACCCGTGGCACAGCCCCCTGAAAACCGGCGTCAAATTGCACCTCTCAGAAGACGGCAGCATGTTCATACTTGTGCCCGACCCAAACTCGTGAGTGCAAACGCCCAGAAACTGGCCCGTGCAGGCACAAACGTGTGCAGGCACACACGTGTGCAGGCACACACGTGTGCAGGCTGCGAATGCGCTCACACTGAGTTCTGAAGCGCGCATGCGGATTTTGCCCTTTCGAAGAATTATTTCCGAGGATTTTGCGGCGGTCCATGTTTGCTCAGCTGGATTTTTTTGGCGTCTTTCTGCAAATTTTCCGGCCATATGAATGTTCGGAGCCCTCGCTACTTTACTCGTTGTGGTTGGATTCTGGGCTTACATTTTGACGTTTACTTCATTCGGCTTTGTTGCGTTGTGATTCTTCAGGAGGGATGCAATCTCGATAGTCGCACGCAGTTCGCCTGTTGTCGTGCGTGTGCTTTGCAACCATGCATTCCCTGTGCTCTACATTTCCCTCTAACTACGGCTCTCCCTATCTCTACATCATCCCCTCTCTACGGGACCACCTGAGTCTTACGGTTGCCTCCTCCCGTACGGCGCAGTCCGCTTCTGTTTGAGCGTGCCCCCTGTGCCTGAACCTACCTGCTGCTCCCTCACCTTCCAACCCCTCTAAGGACCGAAGACTCACACCAAAGACACTTCCTAAAGACCACCCGAATGCGTGCAGTCCGAGCGCCAGGAGCCGCGCTGGGACAGAACGCTTGCGCTCTCCAAAAATCGTTCCGGTTGCACAAAAATCGCAAGCTGTCTTTGGGACGGTTATCACACTGTGGATGCACGTAAGTGCTGATTGAAGAAGCCTGAAGCCCGCAACCAAGATCTTGAGTACACGAATATCGCTGAAGTTCGCCATCCACTACAACAGACAACCCGCCGAGTTTGCGCTTCAAATGTCCTGCCCCTAGCAGCATATCTAGCGTATCTGCCTACAAGCCAAGCTTCTTGGCAGCCGGAAGTTCCTTGGCAGCCGGAAGTTTCTTGGAAGCCGGAAGTTCCTTGGCAGCGCGGAGGAATAAAGGAAGCATGTAGAAGTTTTAGAAGAAAAATACAGGATATAAGAGTTGGAACAAACACAACGGCCAACAAACACAACGGCCTCGAAACACAACGACCTCGCGAAAGTGGAGTGGAGGCGACGATTCAATTAGGAGGCAATTGCCTTTTGGTAGAGTGAGAGGCAGGAGGCATTCAGAAATGCGCTATTTACGTCGAGATGCAGTTCGACGAGTGGCGGGAGTGGGTTGAGGAAGAGATAGAGCTTCGGTTCACCAGAGTTGAAACGTAGACTGGCGAGTGTGTATGGCGTTGCTGGTTGAAGGAGTAAGCGGTTCGGGTCGATGCGGAAGAGCAGAGCCAGCGACCGGAGTACTTCGTTTGGTGTTACGGCATGTTTGTAAACACACGCTCCCATAATTTGTCCCCGGACACACTTCCACACGATCCAGTCGAACACTGAAGACGAAGACCAGGTCGCGTACGACCGCGGAATTTCCGGCACGATGAACTGGAAGAATACCTGCTGGTGCGCCGTCAGGTAAGCAGGCAGGTCCAACAAACTCGCATCCGCTCTAACGCTTTCATCGACGCTGGTCGCATCAGAGTGAGTGGTAGCAACGGAGTGAGCGGCAGCAACGGAGTGAGCGGCAGCAACGGAGTGGACAACGGAACTCGAATCGCCGATGGTGGAGGCCGCAGTTGAGGCCGTGCCGCTATCGCCCCGAACCAGGTCGCTTGCAACCAGGTCGCTTGCAACCAGGTCACTAGCAACGCCCGCTGTGTCATGGGCGGCTGGATCACCTAACGAGGGCAGCGTGCCTGTGACGGAGTAACCGCCAGTTCCTGCCTCCCCGTCAGTCGTTACCGGTCCCTCAGCTGTAGCTTGCCCCTCCGTCGTGACTTGCCCCTGAGCTGTGGCTTGCCCCTCAGTCGCGGCTTGCCCTTCAGTCGCGGCTTGCCCTTCAGTCGCGGCTTGCCCTTCAGTCGCGGCTTGTCCTTCAGTCGCGGCTTGACGCTCAGTCGTGACTTGCCCCTTAGTTGTGGCTTGCCCCTCAGTCGTGGCTTGCCCCTTAGTTGTGGCTTGCTTTTCAGTCGTGGCTTGCCCCTCAATCGGGGCTTCTACCGTCGGCGTCGAGACTGCGTTGAAATCTACTGTACCTTTCGGGGTCAGGGCGCCTCCGGAGACCCTTATATATAGTTGCCTGCGTCGTTGCGTGTCGTTGTCAACCACCACATCCACATTGTCAGGGAGGTGGTGCGAGTAGGACACCGACGGGGGGTAGGCCGCGAGGATCTGCGTGTACGCGGCGGGTGCCATTCGCGAATTCGGCGAAGGAACGCGGTTATAGCCGAAGTCAGCCGGCGGCTGGACACCCGGCGCCGGCCGCGCAGGTGGGTACGGGGCCCCTGGGATGTAACCCCCGCCCCCACTCGCATCGTACACCGCTCCCATCGGACCGGACATCGGGCGAGGCATCGGACCGGGCATCAGAGAACCAGTCGCCGGAGCCGGAGGACCAAGCATACCGGGACCTGCCATGGGCGGGCCCGCCATACCGGTACTTGCCATGGGCGGGCCTGCCATGAGGGGGCCTGCCACGTGGGGACCTGCCATGGGCGGTCCTGCCACTGGAGGACCTGCCATGGGCGGTCCTGACACTGGAGGACGTGTCATGGGAGGACCTACCATGGGAGGACCTGCCATCGGAGGGCCTGCAGCTATGCGGGGACTTGATACAGGTGACACGGGAGGGCCTGCATTCATATCGGGGTAACTGCCCCCCAGATGGTAGCCACCTTCTGGTTGGTAGGCACCTTCTGGTTGGTAGCCATCATCCGGTGGATGACCAGCGTCGTGTGCGTATCTAGTGTGTGGATAACCGTCTCGCGGTCCATAACCATCCGGTGATCCATAATGATTCCCTGGTCGATAAGTGGCCCCTGGTGGGTAGTCGGTGTTTGGCGGATACTCTCCATCCCCCGATGGATATGCGCCATCCCCGGGTGGGTGTGCACCATGCCCCGATGGATATGCGCCATCCCCGGGTGGATATGCACCATGCCCCGGCGGCCATCCAGTTCCGTGTGAATAGCCGCCGCGTGGTGGGCAGCCGCCTTTGGGCTGTGCATAGCTCTGCGGCGGTGGATAGTCGGGCGGAATACGTTGATACCCGTGGTGGTAGCTGGATGGTGGATATTCCTGTGCATAGACGGCGTTTTGTTCGCATTTCAATTCCATGCTGTTGTAATCCGGTTGTTGTTTGCTTGACTGGCTCTGATGGCTTGAGTGACTCGGATAGCATCCGGTTTCCTCTCCTTTTATTGAGCCCGGATGAACTCCATGACTCATCGTTTCCAATATTTATTAATTCAGGCCGACTGGGTTTCAGGCCCGCTTTCGGTCGTCTGAAGGCAACCAGCCAGATCTTAAATCTAACAGTGTGTGGGGAGTGGAACAACAGCGCAGCCCGCCCGGCCTTGGCCCAACGACCCTTGTTTGGATGATGCCGATCACTTTTTGTGTACTAGGGGGGACAATATATACCCGATGAAATGCTGAACAGGTTATCGCACGTTCTGGCAATCCAACGCGCAACAGCTCGGCAAACTCAACAAACCGTTCTACCGTTCGAATTAATCCAAAAAGCGTATCACACACCTCATGGCACCTCATGACCAGCCTTCCTCTCATCTACCACTTAACTTTTCGGTCTCACCGGCGGCTAACGTTACCCCACTACCACCACCATAACTACCGCCACTACAACTACCGCCACTACAACTACCGCCACCACGTCTAACTTGATCCATTGCAGGATAACTTTCGATGTGGCGCCTTTTGAGCATGCCTTGGGTAAAGTGATATCTTGGACGTGCAGCAATCATTCACAATGTCTAAGTAAGTCTCTTCCGTTGTGTTCCGGCTTGTGGTTGTGTTCCGGCTTGTGGTTGTGTTCCGGCTTGTGGTTGTGTTCCGGCTTGTGGTTGTGTTCCGGCTTGTGGTTGTGTTCCGGCATGTGGTTGTATTGTATGGCTGGCGGGTTCCAGTTATGATTGCGTTATAGTCATGGGAACTGACCACGGTCGCGTGATTTTGTTCGACTTGAGTCAAGGAATGGATTTACCGCCGGGTCGCAATGCGGGTGCGGTATGTCTGCAGGCTGTGTTTCGGAGCCCGTTCAATCGGATTGATGCGGTGGTGAAGGTGAGTGTGGTGAGTAAAGGCAGCGGATGTTTCAACATCAATGTGGTGTACAAAAGTGGTTGTTTCCAGGTGATTCGTGTGGCAGCATCTACAGGTCGTGGAGGTGCTCCAGGTCGTGGTTTTATTGGCGATTTTGCGAGTCAATTTTGGAACGCTTTGAAGCAGACGAAGGCGGAGGTTGCGGCGGCCGGTGAAGATCCGCGACGTAGCGGTATGTTGTTGTATGAAAGACCAGATACCAAGATCAGTTGTTCCGTCGCGGCCGTGATAGATGGCCTCAACTCCTGGTCCAATCAACCCAGTCTGTACAATAGCGCCTCCCGACCCGTCGCTAGCTGTTGGGCCTACGGAGAGGACTTGATACTGCGCGATAAAACCGGTTGGCTATACTCCTATAAACTCGTTCCCGATTCAGTACCCACACCTCTCGGACTCTGGGGAGATGAGCTACACCCCGTCCACTACGACGGTATCCAGCTCATCTGGTCCACAAGAGATCAACTTGTCTGCGGCCGCATTCTAGCCAACACTATTGCGCCTAAAAATGTACAACTTGGACCCTTACTCCAACTCAGAAAACTACTACACTCCGATCCCGACCGAATCGACCCGGAATCAAACAAACAACGGAGCCCGGATATTCTCATGCTCACCCGAGCGGCACGCCAACAAAATGAGGAGGGCCTGCTACAAGGACCAGCCATCCACCATCAAGTACCTAAATTCGGACCGCCCACCCCTACGAAACATAATCAATGGCAAGTCATTCAACTAGGCAGACCAGATCTGTTTGTGGTCTGCTACTATACGGATCTGTGGTACGTCAAACTCAGCGGCGTGTCACTCACCGTTCTCTGCTATCTTCAAGTCGAAACCACTGCCAAGAGCTCTATGACTACCAAGAGTTCTATGACTGCCAAGGATTCTGGTTCTGTGGCCGACTGTTCGACTCCGCCGCCACCCTCTGCAGTGGATGACCAAGTGAACGCGAGGGGCGAGTCTCCAGCGGCTGAGTCTCCAGCGGCTGAGTCTCGGGGGCCCGCGGCTGGGGAACCCGCGGAGCCAGCAGCTGCCGGAGGGCTGGCGAGTGCCGGGGGGCCGGGGACAGCGAATACAGGAGTTGAGGGGTCTTGCGGGGCGGTGTCCCCATTGCGGTTGTATGCCACGGATCGCGGTGCGTCGTTCTTGCTGGGTATTGAGGAGGAGGTTTGGTTGTTGGATTGGAGTCAGCATGGTTGCCAGAATCGTGTGTGGTACTACCGGTTGCCGCTGCAGGGTGGTGGATCGCTGCAGGTGGATTCTTCGTTTCCTTCATCGGACATTGAGAACGTAGTATTGGTGGCAAAGAAGGCGAACCTGTGCAGTTGTTTGTTGCTGAACGGTTGGTCGGGTGTGTTGAGGACCAGTGTGTCGCACTTGGTTCAGTTCCCCCCGACGCTGATCGACACTTACCGAACCACCCGCTGGCTGTTGATGTGTAGTAACCGGGAGGTTCCGCTGTTCGGTCGTCTCGAGAACCTTAAGGCGCTCGCCGCCCAGGTCATCTTGGACGTCTGGATCCAGCACCTTGAATCTGTCTGCAACCAAACCCTCCGCGGAGACTTTTCGGCCACCATCATCCAGGTCCTCGAAGACCTTGAACTCCAAGTCGCACACCAGCAGGCCAGCCCGACTGGCACAGACACTCCAGTGGCGCCCGCCAGGTGCTTCATTGACGACCCGAGTTTGATGGCACAAATCGTAGACGACGACGATGAATGCATCTCTCCCTCCAGCGCGGCGACCAAACCACACGCCGAGAACGCACTCATGCGCCGACTTGTTGCCTTTACCGCAGCCATCGTCGACCTCATCGTCAACACCGACAATGCCGCACTATTACCACAGATCCTCTCGCTCCGACTCGTCAACCGAGGCGCCCTCGTTTCTTCCGCGTTCGCACTCTCCGTCGAACACCACATACTCAAAGCCGTCTCCGATTGTCCGCCCGACACTTGGCTCCATTACGGCACGGCTACTCGATCACGTGGCACACACATCGCCGGCAACACACACATCGGAACACACATGGGTGGAGGTCTCTACGACCTGGAAGACTTCGGCGGTGCCGTGGCGGACGTGACGTCCTGTCGAAAGACCGATAGCGCGACGGACCTCGCCGCAACCGACTTCCGCTCGCTCACGGCGTCGCCCCGTCTGCACTCGCTTTCCAACCTGGCCAGCCCACCCGGCTTGGCACCCGGCTTGGCCAGTCCCGTGTGCCTAGACAGTAACCACGCAGCCGGCCATCACGCAGCCGGCCAGCATGCAGCAAGAGCAGATGCCGACGTCGCCAGGCGGCTGACTATGTTCAAGGTGGAGCGATTGCTGGAATTCATACCCATGTCACTGGTGCACTCCTACTACCTTCTTTACACCCAGAATTTAGACCTTGAGGCCGCGGGAAGCCAAGAGGATGCTTCGGTGCTGGGACTCTACCCCCACATCCCGGCCAGTCCGAGCTTCCATGCAGAGGCACTGCTTCCGCCGTTGTCTCCCACCAACCTGCCCGAGGACCCTGCTGTGAATTGGGTGGGAACCAATTTGGCTGGAACGAGTCTTGCAGCAACCAATTTGGCAGGAACCACGTTAGCTTCAACCAGATTGGCGGGAACCAACTCGGACCAGGTCCGGAACCAGTGCAAGTTGTGCAAGTTCCGAACGCCGACGAGGGCTCACAGTCTATACATGTATCTGCGCCGGGGGACACGGAGTATGTGCGGTAAGTGTTTGCATCGCTTCAACCTCGTAATGATGGTTTTGGGTCGCAACGAGAAGTTTGCCAAGATTAAAGAGGCGTGTGTGCCGCCTAAATGGTCCTGGAATTTGATCGATCCGATTGTGAAGCCTACCATCGGCATCAGCGACATCACCTTCTGGATTCAGCAGGCAATGAACATCAAGGACCTATTTGTAGAGGCCTTGTTTCGGGAGAAGGAGCAACGGTATGGCGGGGAGGCTTCGGCTATGGTCAACGCTGCAGGTGGAGGCGTTGCAAAAGAGAACGCAGAGCTTTTAATTGAGGAACTGGTAGTAAGTAGAGTGGCTGGAAACAATAACAGAGATCAAGTTGGAACGGAGAGGGTGGCGAGAGCGTTCGGGCGAGATGGGGCGCACTTGCAGCCAGATGGCTCCACCAACGGCCGCCGGGAAGACGACCTGTATGATGTTCATGGACCTTTGGACATTACCAGCCCACTGGAGCACAGCGACCCAATTAGCGATAAAGTAGAGCCCATTAGTCCCCAGCTGATCATCAGCCACTCGATCAATGTGGATGACGCCCTGGCCCATATTGAATACCCTGGCGAATTTTCTAGCGATCGTCAAGCGAGACATTCCGGTCGGCGCCAAACACTCGACCTGCTCACCGAGTTGGACGAAATACCGCCAGCCGGATTGGACACGCTTTCTGCGACCGGACCTAGCGACCCCGGCACCGAGACTGAAGGCGCTATTCATGACCGGCTAGGAACGGAATACCGAGGCGGGAATGTTTTGGAACAAGTGGACACGGACCAGCACGTTTACCGCCTGGATTCCAAACCAGATGAGAGCCGTCAGAGGGTCGAGCTTCACTCACAGCAGAATAAGGCGAAATCACTAAAAACCGAATTGGTGAAAACGGATCTTGTCAAAACGGAGTTTGTCAAGACGGAGACGAGGACCACTCAAAAGCCATCTTATACGCCGTCCGGTGCCGCTCCCCGGGGGGCAAATGCCTTCTTCTGGCTACGGTTGATAGTTTTGGAGGAACGTCTCGGCTCAGCTTGGGAACGCCCATTAGACCAAGACGCCTCAGATCGACGGTACTATATGGACGACATTCTGTCTGGAACTAACTCGGACGTTCTCATCATTCCTGCCAGTCCACTAATTTTGTTTGCCGCAATTGAGCGCTGGATCCTTTCGTTGCACACGTGTGCGGCGGCCGCGCATTTTGAAGATGTGATGTCCGAAAGCATTTTGCTGGACCTAATAAACTTGTCTCCATTGCTAGTTGTGAAGTGTATAGTGCTGCCGTTGGTTGGCTTGAATATTGAGTCCTATACTCCTCTGATCATCTTGCAGCAAATCTGCAACGCTTTGGAAAAGTTTACGAATAGCTTGACTCCGGACTCTTGGTGCGAGATTTGCTATGTGCAGTTAATCAGGTTCAGTGTTATTATATACATGATAGCGGAAGGCTTGTACGTCCCGGAAAGCGACGAGACGACTGGTTTGATCCAGACAGTCTTAAGTAGCAAGGAAGATTTGCTCGGATATATCGGGCGAAGTTTAGAGAAGGAAGGAACCGCTTGTTATAGCGGTCATGATTACCGCGGTGGTCGCTGTAGCGGTGGCACGCGCCCTTCTGAGTGGTCAGCTGAGTGTTTGGAGGACAAGTCAATCATCGAGATGACGGCCGCGGACGTGATCAACGGTGGATTCGAGCTGGTGTTTGCCAGGAAATTGATGGACCAAATTAACTGGCCGGGGTTTCCGTGCGTCTGCGAGTCTGCTTTGCTGCTGATGTTGGATAAGATGAATAAGGAGGACGTGGACTCATTCCTCTCTAGTGAGTCGGTTGAGGCGTGCAGTCGACTGGGTTACCGAAAGGCCGCGATTAAAATAGCGGGCATTCTGCACCTCTACCAATGTGCATTCAGCTTTATGTCTCCAGACGAAGTATACAGCTACATAAAGGAGCGGGTCGTTAGCGACAACGCAGATGATGATGACTACTCGCTAGGCGAGGACCGGGCAGACGGTCTTGACGAGGACGGAGAACAGAGACGGTGGGCAGAAGCTTGGAATGAAGCCACTAAACTGGAATCGAATGCGTGTAATCTACCTGACGAGAAGCTCTCAAACCGCATATCGAACAGACTGCCGAGCCCCATGGACAGCCATTCCGGTGGACCCTACTTCCAAAGCGTTAGTCGCAGTGGTGGTCTCAGTGGTAGTCTCAGCGGCGGTCTCAGTAGTGAGTACCACCTAGGTCCCCCAAGTCATCCCCCCAATAATCATCCCCCCGTTGGCGCTGGTTCCCCGACTGGTGGTCACCCGACTGGTGGTCAATCCCCGGGTCAGCGCAGTCGAAGCAGAGGTTATGAGATTCGTAATGCTTACTGGAAATGGTGTGCTGCCAACCACACGATTGTTAGAAGTAACTTGAAGCACATTGGGCTGGCGCTGAGGCTGGTCCTGGACCTCCACTACGACGACCGGGATCGACTGCGGACAATGACCTTGTGCCTGGAGCTTCTTGACCGTTTTATCGCGACTAACGATTCTGAGCTGCGACTTATTTGGCTAGGTTTCCTCTGGTGGTCTACTGAGCTGCCGGAGGTCCATGAAGCCTTTTCCAAGGTTTGTTGCTACGTAACGTGTCGCCCGTTCCTTCGGCATGACACGCTTACTTGGGAGTCCGGTAGCCAGCCGTTCAACTCTTTGCAAGTCTCGGGTAGTGTGTCCTACAGCCTCTCCCACCCCAGCTTATCGCACAGTGCGAATAATACGGTGTCAAACACGGACTCCAGCGTGCTACCGGATCACACACATCATCAAGCATCTGCCGGAGACGCAAACAAGTTGGCACCACGGCCGGTCCCGCCGGGGCCGGCGGTTCCGCTTTTGGGGTTAGTCCAGCCGTCACAGCTCCCTGGTCGGTCTGCGGAAGCGTCTGAGTGGTTGCCTTCTGAGCAGCCTTCTCCCGTGCGCCACAAAATGAGTCTGGACGATTTCTGCGTCGCCGTGCACCGAACCATCTGTGAGGAAGTATCGTCGATTTCTTTGGACGAGCACGTTGAGGCTGCGGGACCAAACCAGGTGGGCGGAGCGGACCCACCTGGTGGAGCGGACAAGTGCTTGTTCATCTGGCGCTTGTGTGCAGTGAACATGCTCAAGTTGCGGCTGAACCAGCTGCTGTCCTCCGAGTGTCTCAAGATGCCGTCGACGCGGCCGCCGTCGACCGAAGGCACGCCGATCATCTTGTTACAGGACGCAGACGGCCCAGAGGGCGCATATCGGGCAGGCAAGGCAGCTACGCTGGAGTCCTCGCTTAGTTGTATTCACTTAGATCGTCTGGAGGGCGCAGCCGGGCCCAACATCCACGAGCACGTGGTCACGCCTGCAGCATTGTTGCAAATGGTCCGGATCGCGAACACGCATTTGGGTGTGGCGCTGAGTCACTTTGACGCGGTCTCGCTGCCCAAGGGAAGCATCCACCAAGTATTGTTGGTTCTCGAGTTGCACCGGCTCCGTGGGAACGTGGTGGCCGTGGCAAACTTCTTGGCAGGCTGTGTGCCCCATCTTTTCTCGCATCCGAGCATCGTTCGTCCCCACGACATCCAGGACTCTCTTAAAGACATGTGGCCTACCTGCTGGCCCACGCCCGGACCAGCTGGTGGCCCCAAGACAGTGGGCGAGTGCACCAGCTTCATCTGGGGCGTGATAGCGGACATCCCGCACGGATCCTTGGTTGCACTCAACGTGCTCCATCAAAAGTACGGAAGGAGCGACGTCTGGTTCGCCAAAATGTACGACGCCATCGAGTCCATTGCCGGTACCAGACTCCGCGTCCCCTTCACCCCGGAGTCCGGGGCCACCGCTCTCCGCAGGGCTTGGGTCGACGCTAAAATCGCCGCCTGCCGGAAACGACTCCTGCGCGTAGCTGAAACAACCTCTGTGCCCGGACCCTGGGATCTAAACCTCCCCTCCACAGCCCCTGCGCGTTTCGCGACCCCTAGCGACGAGAACTCACGTATGCGCACACGCGTGCACACACACGATCCGGCCGCCCGCGAAGCCGTCACCGTGTTCGTCGACTCGCCTCACATACACGCTGGCAAATGCAACGCCTGTGGCGAGAGCCTCCACCTGGAAGGTGCATACACCGCCAAACATCTCGGCGACCTCCGCTGGCTGGAACTCAAACGGTCCCTCGCTGCACTCGAGATCGACTCCAACGGCACCACTTGGCACAGAGACTGCCACACGCTGGAAGTCAACTGGGTGAGCCACTGCCGAAACTCTCCCCACAGCCACAACAGCGCTGACTCGTAGGGCCAGCTTACTGGGTTAGCTTACAAGGTCAGCTGATAGTATTGGATCACAGTACTAGATAACGCCAGCCCATAATAACGCTAGCCCACAATACTTGGTGGGGGGATGCAGGGTCGTGTATGGGTTGTCCGAAAACGTTCGCATTTGGGTTGCTGGCAACGCTGGTCATCGTTGTTGTAGATGGAGACAGAACGTTTATTTCGTGTGTTGGGTTTTAGGGGAGTTAATTTTTGTTATGAGTAGTACTGGAGGTGGTTCGGTTGTGCGGTTGTTGGAGAAGGATAGCTTGAAGCCTGGCTTGAAGGAAGGTGGTTTGAAGAGCGTTTCGGGGAAGGTCAAACCACTTGGATGCGTGGCGCGATGGCGGATGAATCCTTACGTTCGTTTAGTAATATACTGTTTAGCATGTTTGTTTACATCGTGTTTGTATTTTGGTTGGCAGGCGTACTCGGCGATGATTATCAAGTCAGGTGCGTATGCATGGAAGTGTGATCCGGGTTCACCGACGGAAGACCCGGATGACCCTGCGAGTTGTCTGGAGCAGTCTAAGGCGGTGAGTGGGTTGTATTCATTGGCCAACGGTTCAGAGTTCGTGTGTGCCGCGGTGGCAGGTGTGATGCTGGATACCTTCGGGCCTCAAGTCACGGCCTCGATTGGCGAAACGTTGCACTTGTTATCGATTTTATGTTTAATTTTCGCGACTGAGAAGTTTCGTGTGTATACACTCGCCATGGTCCTGGCGGGCGCATGCGTCAACATCATCTGCTTCCCTGCCTTGACTGTGATGGAACACTGGCCACGGCGTCAGGCGTTGGCGGTCTCCATTATTGTAGGCTGTCAGTCTGCTGCTTCCGTGGTAGCTCCGATGCTAAACGCAATTTGGAAGAAGCATCCCGACTGGCGCTTCCGCAGCATCTGGGGTGTCTGGCTGGTTGTTGTCTGGCTCCCCGTGAGCGCACTCTACATCTGCTGTCTACCCCGCAAACGTGATTACGGCGCCCTGCTAGCCACCAGTGTCATCCTACGTTCCGATGAGCCCGCCGTCGACTTTGACGGCAACCCGATTAAGCGGAAATTTAGCGATGAACTTGACGCACCCCGTTCCGAACGCGAAGATCTCGAGACCGGATTCGGCGCGTCGACCAGCGGCGAGCGAACTGGCGGTTACTCCACGCCTAGCAACCACCCACGTTCGGAGCACGCACGTTCGGAACTCGGCAGCGGGATCGAAATGGCGCGATTGCGAGACACGAGTGTGTCCACGGCCGCGGCTGTGGAAGAGGACGCAGCGGCGCTGGAGGAAATCGGGAAGGGTGACAGGACGCGCGGCAAGGCGCAGTGGAAGCTCTTCATCAGGTGTTTGCAGACGTTGGACATATGGATTATGGCGGCCTTTTGTGGTTTACTCATGTTCCAGTTCGCGTATTACCCGGCGGTGGTGAAGGACGCGGTATCCATGAGCGTGTCCGACTTCGTCGGTTGGCTCACACCCATGCAGGGCCCGTTCTCCTTCGTGATTGGGTTCTGTATGGACTATACCGGAACCACGCTCGTTATGTTTGTTATGGGAGTGACACTGATCTTTGTTAACCAGACCTGCGCCTGGGCCAGCGAGAACGAAAGCTTAATGCGCTTCACTGCCGTCTGGTTCATCTTCATCCAGTCAGCCACGTACAACATCAAGTACACGTTCGTCAACGAAATGTACGACCCGTTCAACTTCGGCAAACTCGTGGGAGTGCTCGGAATTGCTGGCGGCATTGGGGTGTACTGCTCGGATCCGCTAGTGAAAAGTACAGAATACAACACCATCCTGAACGCTCTAACCGGGGTCGCGGCCTTCATGTTAGTTCTCACCGGATTCGTGTTCATCAGACAAATGAAGGGCGTCACCCACAAGACGGTCCGTGCCGTTGAACAGAAACACAGACAAGTCAACAATGTCGACTAGAGGCACACCATGTCGACTAGAGGCACACCGTGTCGACTAACAAGAGTGGCAAGCGATGGAGTGGACATGACAGCCAGGAGTGACAGCTGGAACCAGACACGACAGACTGGCAGCTTGAAGAAGGAACTGCATGGAGGTGCGCAAGCAGGGTGGCTGGGCTGATGACGAGTGCTAAACTCAGCAGTCGTTTATGATCTTTGACGATCAATCACCGGTCCAAATTTCCCCTACATATTAGCTATCTCTCGTCTAGATTTCAATGCGAAATGACACGAGTGCATTTAGATGGTTATTACGTTGTAGGTTATGAAGGCTATACACTGAAGGCGGTACACTTTAATGGTTATTAAGGGAAGTGTGTGTGAAGACAACATCTTTATTATGAACACCTCTGGTGTGAGGGATTACTTAGACAGATTATTCT